CCCCCAGCTTTGCTGCTTGCTCCAAGTGCTAAGGGCTGCCCCCCAAGCTTTGCTTCTTGCTATGTATGCTAAGGGCTTCCCCCCCAGCTTAGCTTCTTGCTCAGTGTGCTAAGGGGCCCCCCAGCTTTGCTTCTTGCTCCATGCGCTAAGGGGCCCCCTAGCTTTGCTTCTTGCTCCATGCGCTAAGGGCCCCCCTGGCTTTGCTTCTTGCTCTGTGTGCTAAGGGACCCCCCCCGGCTTTGCTTCTTGCTCTGTGTGCTCAGGCCACCCCAGACCCCTTTGCTGCTTGCTCAGTGTACCACACACAACCTCTGATGCTTTCTTAAATTCGGTGGAAGGAGTTCCTCCCCCCACCCCAACCTTTTCTTCCTAAATCTGAGGCTTTCTTCGTTTGAGCTTCTCCCAGGTACTGATACTTTCTTGGTCGGGAAGCGGAGGCCTACATCTCCTCTTGACACCCTCCCATCCTGACTCCAAAGCTCTGATCCTTTCTTGGTCTGTGTCCTAGGAGCTCCTCAATCCTGTCCCGGCCCCAGCTTTGATGCTTTGATGTGTGAGAAGGGTTCTCCCTCAGCTTTGATGTTTTCTTGCTTTGGGGGCTTTCTCCCCCCCCCCCCCCAGTAAAAGCTCTGATGTTTTCTTCCATGTACTAAGGGCCCCTCCTGCCCCCCCTAAATAATAAAAGCTCTGATGCTTCCTTGGTCTGTGTACTAAGAATTTCCCCCAAATTTGATGTTTGGTCCATGTGCTAAGGGCTCCTCTCACTCCCCCCAAAAACAAAAATTCTGATGCTTTCTTAGTCTGTGTGCTAGAACTTTGTGTCTCCCTCTCTCTCTTCCTCACCCCCTTCCCCAGCTTTGATACTTGCTCTGGGTGCTAGGGGCTTTCCCCCCCCCCCCCAGCTGTTTCACATTGAGTGTTTTGTGGTGGCCCCTGTTAACATGGGTCTTATATAATGTCTCATTGTTTCTCACTGTTAACACTTTGTACATGTAGGTATGAACACATGCTTGTGCTTTCGTCCTCCAGGTCCCACTTATTGGGGGCGGGGTTCCCTCCTGCCATCTTGGACTTCAGGCAAGTTTGGTAGAGGGGGCTAGGCTTGATTCCCTCTGTCCCCGTCCTCTTCTTTCCCTGTGAGTTCTTTCTTGTTACAATGTATGATAACCACCACTGTATGTTTATGCCCATTACCTCATTGGACACAACAACCCTGGAAAGGTTGAGTATCAGGCAGTGTTGTCCCCATCCTACATAGGAAGAAACTGAGACTTATCATTGGTGCCCAGGGTCACTTGGCTAGTAAGTGTGGATGGGGGAGCCAGGGTTCAAATTTGGGTCTTTCCACTCCATGCATTGGGCATTGTTTCCATTTGCCATGTGTCTGTAAGTATTTCCCTCCACCCTTCTTCCCACTCAAACTCTCCCCCAAGGCAAGTCATCCTTCACTAGGGCAACCTAAATAAACTTCTGAAGATGGTGATTTGGCTACCCTCTGTTTTTGCTTTTTCCTCTTGCCTTTGTGTTGGGTGGGGCTTTCTCTGTACGTAATGTGTTTTCAATGGTGCTGACTTAATAAAATTTGTCTCTCAAAACGACTTGAGTGTCTTTCTTAATCGTGTTGCCCTTCACTTCGTGAGGATGGAGGAACATGGGGCCAGCATACTTCTATAGATCCCCCCCTGGCCCAAGTCCTAAGGGAATTATATGAGAGACCAGGTGGCCCACAAGTCATCTTCAGCAGCTAAAAACTGAGCATGGAGGAGGAACCTGTTTTCAAATGGATTCTGACTTTTACAGGGAAATGTCCCTGTTTCCAGATACCACGTAGATCGGTTATTATCCTTCATTCTTGAAGAGGGCGAAAATAACATCACTATGTTGGGTGTCAAGGTACAGTGTGTCAAACTGGCTGATCAGACGGGGCCAGGTATGGCACGGATTGGGTATAAATAGTCCATTTGGAGTTAGAGATGTCTTTAAATTTGTGCATCTCATGAGATACCTAATTAGAATCCCTTTGAATATTAATGCCTTAGACCTTTCAAGACCCACATAGATGTCTCTATCTCCTTGTGAAATAAGGAACATGAATTTCATCCCTGTTTTCCAGATGAGGAAACTGAGGCCCACAGAGTTGATTCCTCTACATCTCACGTTTGTCCACTTCTCTCAACTTGGCTGCCACTGAGGTCAGACCCTGAATGCCTAGGCTGCTCTGATGGCTTCTATCTGGTCTGCCTGCATCCTCCCTGTCCAAGCCAGTCTACGTATAGCTGCCAAAACAATTAGGGTGCAAGCTTGACCATGTTACTTAGAACCATAGCATTTCTGGGTTAGGAGGGACTTAAGCAGCCATCCAGGCCAATCCATATATAAAAGGAATTCCCACTATGACTTACCCAACAAGAGGTCACTGCTTGAAGATTTCCACTCCCTGCGGCATCTTTAATACCTCGAAGATAAGATATGGACTCTTCAGTCTGGCTTTTAACATTCTTCGTTACCCAGCTCCATCTTGCTTTTCCATTCCAATCATATTATTGCCTTACTCCTAGGATCACAGAAGTTGTGTGTGGTACACTGATCACTCCTGGTGCTGGAAGGAACTTTAGAAGCCCAAGAGGAAACAGACTGAGGAATGTTGACTTGGCCAATGACACATATGTAGTGTCCGAGTTGGAATTTGAACTCGTGTCTTATGACTAACCATCCAGTGTTGTCCCCGCTCTACCTGTGTTTCAGCTCACTTGAAGTGCTAGCCTTTCCCTAAACTTATCATTACATGTTCCTCTTCCCTTACTTACCCTCCTTAGGCCTGGCATCTACACTGTCCTGTCAGAATCCTTGCTGTCCTTTGAGACTTGACTGGAAGTACCACTTAGGCTGGGAAGCCTTCCTTGCCTCTTTCCCTTCCCTTCCCAATCCCCAGTTTTTCTCCTCTGTCTTCGTATTATCTTTTTACTTATCTTCATATACATTGTGACTTTCAACGTAAATTCCCTGAAAGGTGGCAATGGCTTGTTTTTGTATCTTTGGTTTCTTGTATATTGGACTTCATGTTGAATTAAGGCGTAGGTGGCACTCGGATGATGCAGATTTCTTGACTATACATATATATGTATTTATGTACAGCCACACCAGTATAGCCATGTACATTCCCACACATGTATGTGGCTATGTGTCTGCATAGCAGAAGGTAGGGTGATGGATTAAAACCAGGAACCGCAGTTAGGTCACAGCTTGGTAATTGATCAGTCATATGACCTAAGCCAAGTCAATTCAATATTTTTGTTTTTCTGAGTTGAAAAGGACCTTAGAGGCCACCTAATACAACCTGTAGCTAAGCAAGCATCGTCTCTTGCTCAGTTGTTATCCGACTCTTCGACACCCCATTTGGGGTTTTCTTGGCAGAGACACCAGAGTGGTTTGTCATTTACTTCTCTGGCTCATTTTACAGATGAGGAAACTGAAGCAAACAGGGTTAAGTGACTTGCCCAGGGTCACACAGCTGGTAAGTATCTGAGGCCAGATTTGAACTCATGAAGAGGAGTCTTTCTTACTCCACTCCCAACACTATGGCGTAGAGTTTCTTCCAATACTAGGACCTATGAGCCTAGGAGTAAGGAAATAATATGATTGAAATGGCAAGGCAAGATGTTCAGAGTCTATGCACAATGGCGCCCCCTAGCTACCCCAAGCATTCTCTCTACAATATCCAAAACAAGTGATCCTTGATTCTCTGCCTAAAGACAGTGGCGGGACCCACTACCTCCTAAAGAGGCAGGCCATCCCACTTTTGGATTAAAAAAAATCCACAGCCTTGGGAAAAGTACAGATTTTCTCTCTCTCTCTTTTTTTGGTAAGGCAATTGGAGTTAAGTGATTTACCCAGGGTCACACAGCTAATAAGTATCAACTGTCTGAGGCCAAATTTGAACTCAGGTCCTCCTGACTCCAAGGCCAGAGCACTATCCCCTGCACCACCTAGCTGCCCTGAGAGTATTTTCATTATATTTTTATATTATATTTATATTATCTAATATTAAGTATTAATAAAATAAAATATTAAATTATTTAAATTAAAAATTAAATTAAATATTAATAATGTTATAATATATTTATGCTATTTCATTATATATATTCAATATATTTTCATTCTCAATGAAACATGCCAACAGGTAACAATCAAACCAAAGGCCATTTTAATTTAGTTATAAAGAGTGTTCGTTGTACTTAGGTATCAATTATGGGTGTGCCTAACTCCTAAGTCATCAGGAGGACCTGATTCAGAAGGAAGAAGAGAATTAATTGGCCTCCCCATTACAAAACCTGTTTACCAGCTTAGAGGAGGGAGAGAGAGAAGTAGGAACTAATGTGCAAAATTGTCTCAAACAGCAGATGACTTAGGGGCACATCCACCAGTGAGATTTCTCTCACAAAGTGAGAAAGGCAGTGTGGTGCTGTGGAAGGACTGTAAGAGCTGGAGTCAAAGGACCTGGGTTCAAATCCTGATTGCCAATTACTAGCTGGGTGATCTGGGCAAGTCACCTCTTTTTTTCTGATCCTCAGTTTCCTCATCTGTAAATGGGTCT